CCAGGAATTGAGAGGGCCAGAACCCTAGAGTCTGGCAGAACTGTTTGAACCCCAATTTAATATGTTAGTTACAGCTTCAGAATCTGTCACTACCTCCATTTCTTCCCCATCTATTTGCCAGGAATTGAGAGGGCCAGAACCCTAGAGTCTGGCAGAACTGTTTGAACCCCAATTTAATATGTTAGTTACAGCTTCAGAATCATGATCGGAGACATCATAAGAGGAGTCCCTCCTCAAAGCCCACATATGTGGTCTTGTGGTCTTTTAGGAAAGATCTTGAGACATGGCTCTTTCATCAGGTCCAGAGGCAAGGGGCTTTGCAATCTTGGGATCCATCCCTTTGTTCCTGGAGTCTCCTTCCTCAATCTTGTAATATAACAATTTTTGTCTCTTTTGTTGTTTATTACTGTTTTCTATTTCTGCAGTGTTTCCCATGCTGGGCAACTTTAAGATGAATGGACTTCAATGCCCAGAATTTCCTGCCCAGCATGTTTACTCGGTGAGGAATTCTGGGAGTGAACATCCATTCATTTTAAAGTTGACACGGTTGGGAAACACAATATTTTTTGTTTTTCCTATCTTGCACAATACCTACAGTTGCTTGGGCGTTTGAGGCTGCTTAAACAGCGAGCAAAGAAACAAGTCGTGTAAATTATGATTTATTATTAGTTATTTTTATTTATTTATTTATTTGCTCAACAATTAATCTCTCCAACCTGATACAGACTCAGTTATCCTCTCACTGCATTCAGGAAAACAAAAGCTGTGCTGCTGAAATTTTTACCTGTTTAGAATACAGAGTAATACAGATTAGCAAAATTGGGAAGGATTTTGGAAGTCTTCTAGTCCAACCCCCTGCTCAGGCAGAAAAAACTACACTACTTCAGACAAATGGTTGTCCAATCTCTTCTTAAAAATTTCCAGTGTTGGAGCATTTACAACTACTGGAAGCAAGGTGATTAATTGTTCTAACAGTCAGGAAATTCCTCCTTAGTTCTAGGTTGCTTCTCTCCTTGATTACTTTCCATCCATTGTCTCTTGTCCTGCCTTCAGGTGCTTTGTTAACAGGTTGACCTTTTTCTTTATGGCAACCCCTGAGATATTGGAACACTGCTATCATGTCTCCCCAATCCTTCTTTTCACTAGAGTACATACCCAGTTTCAGCAACCATTCTTCATATGTTTTAGCCTCCAGTCCCCTAATCATCTTTGTTGCTCTTCTCTGCACTCTTTCTAGAGTCTTTTTTTTTTTACATTGTGGCAACTAAAACTAGATGCAATATTCCAAGTGTGGCCTTACCAAGGCATTCTAAAGTGGTATTAATTAATAATTGCAGAGGCTTTATAAAGTGGTATTAACATCTTGTATCGTGATTCTTATCCCTCTGTTAGTGCAGCCTACGATTGCATTTTGAATTGAAAGGGGATCCCCAGCTTTCTGCAGGAGGCATGTTGGATCACGATCCCCATAATCCCAAATCACTGCATGTGCAAGCTGGGGAATATGGTGATTGCAATCCACTAGATCTAGAGGACAATTGGGTGGAAAAGATTTCCTTAAACATTTTAAAGCGAGTTTTAAGAGGGGGGGGGATAAAAAGACAATGAGCAGGACCAATTGCAACAGGAGATCTTAAAAGGCTCCATTAGATTAGTTCAGTCAGACGCAGGAGGTCTCTACCCGGTCCTCACCTATCCTCTCCAGATCCATCTCAGCTGCCACGGTTCGCTCATGGATTGACCCGGAAACTCTCGCCTCCGGGCTGTCAATACTAAGGGCGGAACCTTTCCCTCCCCAAAAGGAAGGGCGGTTGAAGCCACGCCGTGTTTCTCAGGGTGACGAGTATGCATTGCTATCCCACGTCCGTAAGCGGAAGTGAAACGGGATTGGTCAACCGCACAAAGGGCGGAAGCCTGGTAGGAGAAAAATAGCTTTAGTTTCGAACGAAGGGACGGGTTGGATAAGGAAGCAAGAGCAGCTGTCCAATGACGGGGCGGTATGCAAATCGAAAGCTCTTCCCCACTTGACCCAAAACCCCGAAGGCAGCCAATGAGCAGCTGGATATTCAAATATGGTTTTTAAAAAAACACCTGTTCGGCTTCGGAGCATCCCATTCCGAACGTCATCCCTGTGTCACAGTTCAACCAATGAGAGCCCAGTATGTAAATCAAGGACGCCCTCTCTTATTTTCTCCGCTCTCGTGCCTTCGAAGGGTCACGTTCCTGTAATTCTCAACCAATCGCTTTCGCGTCGCTGGGTGGCTTATGCAAATTAAGCCGCCTCACTAATCTTCCTCCTCCTCCTCTTCCTCCTCCATCTTGGGAAGGGTCGACTCTTAAGACTGAAAGGCAAAGATATTTAAAAACAACGACCGGTGAGTGTGTGTGCGCGCGCGTGGGGGGGGGGGAATCAAACCAAGGGTTGCCCAACCGTCGTTACGCTCAGCGTTGGCTGGGGCCGCAATGCATCCTGGGACGGGCTCGGCGCCGGTTTGTAGGGAAAGCGGGGGAGGGAAACTGGCTCCCAGTGCATCCTGGGAAGGCGCGGTGCACTGTGGGAGGGTCCGGAGTGGAACGTTGCGTTGCTTCAGGCATTCGTGGGCTGCGGCGGGAGGGGGAAGAGGAGGAGGAGGAGGACGCGAGTTCGAATCTGAGGCTTCCCCCAATTTGGAGCCTTTTGCAAGGTAAGTCCGTGACACGCCCACTAATCCACTCCGGGATATCCCCCCCACCCCCGGAAGTGCCTATCCGGGCGAGGGGAGGAGAGAGAAATTGCCGTAAGTCGAGGACTACCTGATGGACGATTTGTCTGGATTTGGCTGTAGTTCCTAATGTAGGAAGTTAGCACCATCCCTCTCCTAGGAAAATGAAATATTTTAGGAAATAATGTGTATTAATGTATGTGAGAGATCTGTAGATATTTTCACGGCCCTCTTTTTGATTTGTGTAGTGTACAGATCCTCAGTGGAAGGCAGATTGGTAGCAATTGTTTTTTCTGCAGTTCTAATTATCCGTTGAAGTCTATGTTTGTCTTGTTAGGTTGCAGAACCAAACCAGACAGTTATGGGAGGTGTAGATGACAGATTCAATAATTCCTCTGTAGAACAGAATCAGCAGCTATTTGGGTTAGTTTACTGTTCTGACCCCCTCCTCCGTCCAGTAACAAATGCCGAGACAAGCTTAACTGAAATGTACTTTATTAGCAAGAAACCAAACCTTGGTGGCTGAAAGCCTAGCATAACAAATAGATAAGGACCTTGGCAGCAACTCAGACAAACCT